ATAAGCATTACATTAAAAGAGATAATAAATGTACAACAATTATCCCCATGCTTGGTGTATAGCCAGTATTTAGCCAATTGTATTCCCTTTGGAGTACTAAAAATGAGTAAATGTAAATGCTGAGACTTTTTTTTTTTTCTAAATAACAAAGAATAATGGAAAATCATTGTGAGTTTTGAAGGAAGGATTCCTATACCAGTTGGGACTATTAATAGCAAGAAAAAATTTAGAGGAAGCTGAACAGGAAAAGATATATGGTTAATTTTGGTGTAATGAATAAGGCCTGAACTTGGATTCACAGAACTTGAGTTTAAGAGGTGCTTCTTCCTCTATTTACAGGCTAAGTGACCTTGAGAAAAATCCCTGAAACTCATATTTCATAGGCCTGGAATTAAATTCAATGCCAATTGGAATATGGCATATGATTTTGAATATTAAACATAATAGCATAATTTTACCAAATAAAACTATTGTTTAGTGTACAAAAAGATGCTTTGAAGTCTATAAAATCCAATATAAATGTAAAATGGTGTTGAGGTAACTACTAATAGTTAAAATTTATTCATTATTGAAATTCACCATCAAAGTTGAAAAATTATTCTAAGAAACTGGGGTATTAAGTGGGTTACCAAATTTGAATGACAGTAAAGAAAGTAGTTACTAAATTGTGAAATCATACTTCATGAGGAGAAAAGAGATTGATATCAGCAACATAACTGCAATACTTCTGAAAGCATTTCCATGACATTTGTCCCATGAATGATCCTAATATTCTTTTTTATAATGCCTTTAGCAATATTTTAACAAGATTAGACTTTTGAGTTTTATCTGACATTTCATTTTGCCCCCATTATGACAGTATACACATTGGCTTAGCTCCTGACTTGCATCAGTATTGTCTCATGTGTCTCTGTGTCTTAAAAATTTCCAAATTATAGAAAGAGAAAATAGCCACATGAAATAAAGTCAGAAAAAAATAGAAATCATATTAATAAAAGAAGAATCTACCAAGACCTCATGATAGTATGATCCCTGGCCTTAGACAATAATGGCTTTTATTACTAATAATAGCGTATTATTAGTGTTATGTCTAAATGTTTCATTTATTGGAAACTTTTAAAAATTCACATTCTACCTATGTTAAATGTGTAGGTTTACACATTATAACATTACACAAAATACCTTAGTATGGTGTGCAGTAATGTCACCAAACAAGAGAAACAAGAAAACCCCTTTACAGCAATGACTGCTGTGCTGTCTGAAGGTCATTTTCTGCAGAAAATCTTTATCATGTCTTACTTCAGAAATACGTTTTCGGAGATGGGAAACAACAGGCCATGGCAATGTTAATGTTAAACCACTCTAATTCTTCCAAAGCAATATGTATCACAACAATTTCTCTCCGTAAAGGAGAACATCAAGTCCTTAAAGAAAATTTCCTATTCTGCAGGTGGGGAGGAAGTTAAGAATGCACCTTTGGTTTTTCTTTTTTTTTTTTGGCTTTGTTTTGTTTTGTTGTTTTGTTAGCACAATATAAGAAATTTGCATTGTAAAGCAAGCTGCTGTTGTCAGCTCTTTAATGGACAGAGCAGTCAGAAAGCTGCCTCCACCCTAAGAGGCTTAGAGACGGAGTTGAGCAACTGAGTTAGACAGCAGGTGCCCAGGCCCATCAAGTCAATTTTCTAACACAGAATGCATGTTGTGGAACTTGTTCTATTAGTCTTTTTCTTCTCTGTTAAGGAACCAAGAATTTCTCTGGGTGGATGTAGTGCTGTTATTTCTATTCAGAAAAAAATGGTAAGGAATTTGGTAATAATTGGTGTTAAAACAAGTTACCTTTTAAAAATAGATTGCCCACACCTATAGGAAGAATCTCAAGAAGGCACACAGTTAATAAAAGCTGGTTCTGAGTTACTCATACAGGTATGCACTAATGTGCAGTAAACAACTGATTGTGCTATTTTTCTTTCCCAGAAATAGCAACTAAGCAAGAAGGGTTCTTTTTTCTTTTTTATCAACAATATAAAATCTCATTAACATATTTTACAGTTGGAGGCCTGCAGAATTCTGCTTCCTTTTGCTATTGAAAAGTCACAATAGCTAAGTGGAGTAATGTGTATTCTTCTAAATTAACACTTGTTGCCGTGGTTAAGGGTGGGGTCAGGGTGCAAGAGTAAGAAGTTGGCAAGAAAAGGTTCAGGGCCTGTTGCAAAACCAACTGCAAGCATGATTCCAGATAGACAAGAACCACCTGTTACAACAGAGGGAGAGGTTTAAAAGATGAAATGAGAAGGAGGTGACCTTAAAGATCATTTCCCCAATTATAATGTAAACAGCTAAGGGAACATGAAGATATTTATATCAAACACACGTGAATACAATATTATCCACATGTATTCAAGATAAGAAGACATAGAATTACTTATATATTTCTAATCAAGAAAAGCTTATGGAAGTAAATGGTTTCTTAATGGTAATAATAATTGCCACCTGGACACCTAGTGTCTCAATCCTCACAACAACCCTTTTGTTTCAGAAGGTGTTTAATACATAAGGAAAAAACGGATACAGAGAGAGTTAAGCTACATGCCCAAAGCCACACGCTTGATAAGGGGTGGAGTCAGGATTCAACCATATCTGTCCAACTCCAAAGCCCATGCTTTCAACAATTCTGCTATACTATGCACTACATAAATATATGTCATAGCCTTTGGAAAATTTTACTTTCTGGACTTGATAAAAAAAAAATTAGAAGGAACCTCCCAAACAGCTTAAAGTCCACTAACAAGACCTCAGTGACACATTAGTGTACAGTTAGAAGAGGCAGAAACTTAATGTCACGTGAAATGCTTAAGGAGAAATGAACAATTTTGCTTAGCTCTTGCAAAATTCGAATTCTGAGTGAACTCTGTCTCAGAAGGGAATATACAATGTTTCATTAGAACACACTTTAAACGTTCTTCTTAGTAACTATGTGGCACATAGAAAGAGTTCCCTTTTAACCTCTTTCAGATGGGAAATATTGTGATTTTATAAAATTAGGAAAACGCCTTACTTCTAAAGAAACTACAGGAAACAAAGTGGGCTACGCAAAATAACTTGTGTTGACTCAAAGGTATTGGGATCACAATGCAGTGATCCTATAAAAGATGTGCCCCAAAAGCCTACTTAAAATTTGAAGGTCGGTATGCGAAAACTTCTTGTACGGGACGAATTTCAACAACTACTGTTGTAATGATTCACGTGGGCTTTGCTCTTTATCTTATCTTCAAATAAAAATTTTATGATTTGAAAAAAAAGGGCATTAAAAAGCGAATTAAGGCTAGTCGACAGGAGAAAAGACAACTGTCAATGGAAAGACGTACGTATAGAATCCGGAACGTCGGGGGATATCGAGTGTCGTCGCTTGGAATTTAGTTCTTTACGGGTCGACTTCTTCGTTACTTAATTATACGTACGGGTAGAAAATTTTCAAAATAGAGGCTCTTACTACAGAAAACGTAGGCATTTGGAAGCGCAGGTTTATTTCTTAGAATCGCATCTAGCGAGTAGTAGTCACTGGTGAGAATTTCATCCTGGATCTGTGAGAATCCCTCTCCTTCCCAGGCCACGTGGCAAAAGTAAACAGAAGGTGGGCCGGGGCGGGGTGAAGCAGGCCTCGGTCAATTTCCTAATTTGTCGAGTCTTTAAAACTACAGGCCCCTAAAGCACTAAGGGCATGCCCTCTGCGAAACCGGGGAGCGCTTCTGCGGAGCGAGATGAAAGCGACAGTGTAGAGGATGCCAAGGCGGGGGCGAGGCGCGAGCCCGAGCGCCTTCCAGGGGGTGGGCGCGCGCGCGCGGAGATACCTGCGAGGCGGTGGGAGTAGGGGCGAACGCGCGAGGCTGCCGGGTGCGGCTGGGTGCGCGCAGGGGTGAGGGGTGCGCCCCGACCTCCAGGTGGGTGGCGGAGTGCGGTGCTAACAGAAAGTTTAAAAGGTTAATCTAAGGTCTCCATCCTCGTGCAAGCACCCCCGCCACCCTCCTGTGCGCGCCTGCCCCGCAACTTCACCCTGGTGGCTGCCGCTCCGAGGGGTCCCCGGGCGCCCCGGGTCTGGCTTCGCTGCCGGGGAAGGGAGGGGGCGGGGGGCTGGACCTCCCCCCGCGCTCATCCCCGCGCACCGCTCTCCGGGCTCCCCCGCCCCGCGCCAGGGCGGCCCCGGCCTGGACCGCGCACCCCATTGTACAGCCCCCAGGTGCGGCCGCCGGCCTTTGTGCAGAAGCCCCGGGCGAGGGGGCTGGTTCCCTGGGAGCCGGGGCTGAGAGCCCCAGGGCGGCGGCGGAGGCCGGGGCGGAGGAGGAGGAGGAGGAGGAGGAGGAGGAGGAGGGAGGGGAGGAGGCGGAGGAGGCGAGCGCGCGGCGGCGGGGCGGGGGCGGGGGCGGGGGCGGGGGCGAGCCGGCAGCAGCGGCTGCGGCCAGAGCTCGGGCGGCCGCCGCCGCCTCCTCGCGAGCGCCGCGCGCCCAGGCCCCGCTCGCATGCGAGTCACGTCCGCCCCCTCGGCGCGGCCGCCCCGAGACGCCGGCCCCGCCGAGTGATGAGAACACACGTCAAACTGCCTTATGAATATTGATGCGGAGGCTAGGCTGCTTTCGTAGAGAGAAGCAAAAGGAAGCAAGATGGCTGCCCTTTAGGATTTGTTAGAAAGGAGCCCCGACTGCAACTGCTGGCTGGCTGCACGGCTGCGGGACGAGAACGAGGTCAGAGCGCTTCTCCCATGCCGCGGATCTCCCCCTTCCTCCCCCCTCGCTTTCCCTCGGGCTCCCAGGCGCGGGGGCGCGGACCCTGCGGTGTCACCCGCAAATACCGGGAGCGAAGAGGGAAGCCTCACAAATTACTGGAGCCTCTTCAACATGGCTGACAAATATAGTTTTAATTCCCCCCCTCCCCTCAAACCTGCGGTTCCGTGCTCTCTTCTCTCCCCTGCTAACGCTCCTCGCCCCCGCCCCCCCCAGAAAACTTACCTTTGTGACTGCGGCCAGCCGGTTCCCCGGCCTTTTATCTTCAGGAAAGTGATTTTTCTTTGCTTCCCTTTCTCAGATAGTTCAGCTTTGGGGGGCACTACTTTCCCCTCGAGCCCTCCCCGACCCTCTCCCCTTCTTGTAAGTCAGACCCGTCTCTCGTTTCACCTCACCCACCCCGGAAAAGAACTCTGACGGAGTGTTTTTCGGCCCTTTTATCTGCTGCGGGGTCTGGGTCTGGCTGCGCGTCCGCGTCCGCCCCTCTCTGCCCCCGTGTCCGCTTTTCGGGGGACGAGCGGAGCGAGTGTCACGGGGAGTGGAACTGCAGCACACCAAGTGGGGTTTTGTTTTTTCCCGGAGTCCGCGCGTTTTGCCGGCGGCGCCGAGGGAGGGAGCGGAGAGCGTAGCTCCTCGGGTCCCCCGAACCCGAGCAGACCCCGCTTCTCTCCGGGCACGTCGGCTCCGCGATGGGCTGTGCCTGCCAGCCTGGGGAGCGTGTGTGGGAGAATTTGTGGGCAAATCTGGGTCCTGGCTTTGTGCTTCTCCCGAATCAGCTTCGTTTGGTTCCCCGGTAAGTGACAGGCAGACACAAAGGCAGGCGCAGGCCGGGGGAGGGGGCGGGCGGGCGGGAGGAGGGGGGCAGAGTTGAGAGTTGGAAGACTGCAAGGTCAGGGGCGCCGAAAGAAATGAAACCCAATCCCAGCAAAGAAACGGAGAAGTAGGGAGCGGATTTCTAACAGCCCCATCCAAATTTCTCTCTCTGTCTTGGTTGCTTTCTTTTCTTTGGTCTTTTATTAATCTGCCCCTGTGTCCGTCTCTCTCTCTCTCCCTCTCTCCCTCTCTCCCTCTCTCCCTCTCTCCCTCTCTCCCTCTCCCCTCCTTCGTCTACACTCACACACACACACTCCAGTCTTGCCGAATCTTTTCACTGGGGCTGCTTGTCTAGTGTTATTAAGCCAACAGAGTTTCTATGGAGAGTTTTCTACCTATGACAAAGTGTGGCCTGGATAGACTCCTGACAAGGTCGACTACGAAATAGAAGTGTTATTTACTGAGTGTTACCTTCAGGACTTACTTTTAATTGCATCGACTGTTTCCCCCACCCCCTGCATTTAGTATTTAAGAATCGAGCATAGGGTTATTTTCCAGTCGTTTGCTTAAGATTTACTGAAATAGTTTTTTTTTTTATATTTTCCTGTGTAAGGTAGGATGCATCCATGAATTTAAAATCTCAAGTCTCACACTGTGCTTTCTCCTCTCTAATAAGGGGTTATACTGGCAAATCCAAATAAAAATATTCATCAACAAATGAATCAACATAAGAGTAAGATTGTTCCTTAGGGGAAGTTGAGGTTTAAAGAGAAAAGGTATAGGTCTGGTTTGCTTTGCTTTGGGTTTAAGACTCTGGGTATTGTTGCCTGGTTAATGAAATCATTATATTTGCATTTTAATGGAAACTTGAAATACTGGACGAGTGTTCTATTCTTTTACATGTTTGCATGTGTGTTTTATAACAGGTTTGAGGCAGAATATAAATTTCAACACAATAAATAATAGTTTTTCAATGTCACTCAGCAGAGAAGTGTTAGTGAAGGATTGGAAAGTCAAACTTAAGTTTAGAAGGCATGTATACGATTAAAAATGGACAGAATAAAGAGCACAATAATGGACATTACTTCCAAAATCAGACTTCCAAAGTCATTTGTCCTCTGTGGTTCACTTTGTAACACTTTCTATTTTGATCTTTGAAACAGCAGTTAAGTTCACTTTAATCATTGATACTGGAGGTTATTTCACATGATTACAAGGGGGAAGTATTACTACTGATCTCTGGAATAGAAACAGCTCATTTGGTTAGTTCTTATTTGTCCTAAAATAATAAAGGAATTGCTTAGGAGTTTGGCATAAATGCTTACTATTTGTTGAGAAAACTATGATTAATTATTCCAGCAATTCAGAATTAAAAATAAACAGTTCTTTTTGCTAACAGACTAATATCTAACTGCTTTTTGGAGACTTTTCAAATGCTGTGATATATGCTTTCTCCAAGTTATTCAACTAATAACAGGTGTAACATTTTCATTCATATTGGTAAATAAGAATACATACATCGGTTAATAGTTTTATTGTGACCATGAAGATTTGTTCTTTCCTGTTATCAAATTTAGACTCTTTTGTTATTTTATGTGTCCTATTAGTATGCTGAAAATAGATATTAATTTAATATCGTATAAGGAGCTTAAATGATTTTAAGGAGGAGATGTATATATATTCATCATTCTGAATATAAGTACCACTTTCTCCTTTATTATAAAAGAGAAGTTATTTGAATCACTATAGGATAGTCTACTGTAAAAGACATAATGTCTGTATTTTATTTACCGTATGTGTGATAGTACCACCTGGATGTTCCCAGAATTACATAGATAGAACTGTCTTGAACAATTGCATTTTATGGGAGTGATGGTGGACAATTACAAGGTAGATCTTTTTTTTAATCTGCAGTATTGTTTTGCTTATTTTATTACTGAACTAGTGGTTAATGAGAAATTAACTTGGAAAGAAGGGAGTCCCTTGTTTTGTTTAAATGCACACATTTACCAACTACAGCCTTAATTATATCTGGCACTGTGCTGGTCCATGACAGCAGTCAAAGAGGTTGGTATGATTTTGATGCAGTGGCACATGGACAGGTCAACCTCACTTCCAGAACAAGTGAAATGCACCTGCCAAGCAGTTATTGTGACAGACTTCCAAAGTCCTGTTTGGGCACTGGACTTGTATTAGGTAACAAAAACTGCAGTTAATGTTTTGGTTTCACTTGCTGAAGTTATAATTTTTCTATCAATTCCTCCAAGGCTCCACCCCCACACAAAGCTGTAAGTCAAATATCACTATTAAAATGCATTTCCTGGGGCACCTGGGTGGCTCAGTCGGTTAAGGGTCTGACTTAAGGGTCTGGTTTGTGTGTTCAAGGCCCCCATCAGGCTCTGTGCTGACAGCTCAGAGCCTGGAGCCTGTTCAGATTCTGTGTCTCCCTCTCTCTCTGCCCCTCCCCTGCTCACACTCTGTCTGTCTGTCTCTCTCTCTCTCAAACAAACATTAAAAAAATAAAAAAGAAATAAAATGCATTTCCTTATTTGCTGATCTCAGTAAGAAACCTTTCCTATAATTCACAGACACACTTAGAAGAAACCTGATTTTACATTATGCCCCAGATCCAGGTTCGTAAATTCTTATGAATTCTTTGAAATTATCTTGAAATAAAATATCTTCAAAAGGATGTTAGAATATCTACTACTAAGAAATATGAAACTTGCTTTTTTTATGTTCTGATTCCTTCTGTGAGTTCAGTTGTTGCCCAGCAGAATTTAAGTCTTACCTAGCCATCTCAAATCACTAGAGGGGAACTTCTTTGATTTATAAACAACCATATAGACAGGTTAAAATTTGGAGCAGCTGTCAGTGTTGGTTCATCAAAATAACATTTCCTCAATGACTATGCCACCATTGCATAGTAGTTCTTAAGCATGGTGATGGCACCAAAGCCAGTAGCAGGAAACTCGCACAAGCCAAATTTACAACTGGAATCTTAACTGTGGGAGAATTGGGTTGCCAAGTAGAGCTGGTGGTTATTTTGGAAATTGTGCTGAAGAACACAACCACAAATGATTTTGCCAAATATACAGTATTTACTTGGTCTAGATCTCCAATTTCTATTTTGACTCACTGCCCAAACTCAGGGAATACTGTGACGTTATTTAAGGAGGGTGGATAGTACAGCTATATACCTTGGCATATGGTACAAAATAAATATATACAGTAGGAAGGGAGAGTCCCACATGTACAGGAGGAGGACAGGGCAAGGGAGAGCCCTTGAAGCACTGTGACTGCAAGCCAAAAAGGGTCTTAAGTGTCTGATCTTTCCAGCGTTATTCTGATCCTAGATTGTACATTGCAGAAAATCCCTAACTTAAGATAGACATATAATCTTTTCACAATAAAAAAGATTCTGGTTGCCCATTCCAAAATAGGAAAATTCTATCAGCTTTGATTTTTGCTTTTTCCACTTGTCATGAAATTTAGGTAAATATGCCAAGCTGCAGAAAGTAGAAATAGATACTAGGTGGATTTTCAATATTTTGTGTAAAAACATATTCAATGATAATGTCAACCTACCTGCAATTTTAAGAATCTGGAACTCAATGTTTTGTATTCACTCAGGGCTGTTACTCAAACTGACTTGAAATCAAGGTCCAAATAATCTGAGAATTAAGTTAAGAGATGACTAAGTTGAGATGAAGTGTTTTTGGTGGACAAGTTAGGACGTAAACTGTACTGGTTGCTTCACTAAACATGCTATACATATTTATTTTAAATTAGATTTATGTCTCTTGGAAGAGAGGTGCTGATTTCTACATCTGTTTATTCCATGATTAAATGTAGTGGTGATCTACTCAGTCAAGATGTAATGGAGGACAGCTTCCATTTATAAGATGAGTACATTCTGGAATGTAACGTATTCCACCGTGACTATCATGTACAATACTTCAAAATATATTTCAGTATTTCAAGATATATAACAGTATTTCAAAATATGTTTGGAAGTATATCTGTCAAAAGAGTATATCAAAAATTGTAAGTATGTGAGGTGATGGGTGTGTGTTAGCTAACCTTTTGTGGTAATCATTTTCAGTATGTACATACATCAAGTCATTACATTGTACACCTTAAACTTACATGATATTGTATGTCAGTTTATCTTAAAAGCAGAGAAAAAGTCACAAATGACCTAAAACTGGAAAAAAGTAATGTCATTTAATGAGAAAATGTGTAATCTGTTCTCACTGGTAGTGGTGATGATGGTAGTAATGATGGTGGTTTTTCCTTAAGTGTAACTCCTACAGGCTATGGCAAATGACTCATAAAAGCCATCCATTGTAAACATACAGCTTAATGAATTTTAGTAAATTTACCTGAAGAACACGTATTTTTAATTGAAATCTCTATTAAGATTATTATAGATTCAGATGCAGCTGTATGAAATAATAATAATTGGACATACACATGCTGTCCAGTTTCCCTACTGGTAACTTTTGGTAAAACTGAAATATCACAGCCAAAATACTGTCATTGATATATTCTACCAATCTTACTCAGCTTCCCCTAGTTTGATGTGTTCATTTGTATATTGTATATTTAGTTCCATACCATTTTATCCCATTGTCCGATATCTTTAACCCTTTTTTCCTGGAAACAGAAAAGTTTAACACAGTTCTACTTCATCGATCATGTGGCTGTGCTATCATTCCTTATCAAAATGTTAATCAGAATATAGGCTTTTGTTTACTTAGAAGTGTTTTTTGCACAAAATGGCCTTTGTGTTCAAAATATTTTAAGTTGTTTAATGATTTATTACATTGTAATTTATGTCATCTAATTCTTATCACAACTCTAGCGATAGGTGTTATTATCCTCATCTCTCTTGAGCTAATTGAATCATAGTGAGGTTGGATAACCAAAATCATACAGCCAGTATGTACCTTAGCTTAGGTTTGAAGTAGG